CATGACTTCCATGCTCGAATCAATACCGTGACGAATAGGCTTGACGCGCTTTCTCATGACTTTGCTTCTTTCTGCGCTCCGTCTTCAGATCATGATCCTTCTCCTGTGGATGTCGAATCATTCTTCATATGCACTGCTTGTTATGTTGCTTGTGTTTGATGTTATTTTTTTTTATCTTGGTCGGATATTTGGTTATTTGGATGATTTTATTTTGGGTGATTTTACATACTTTGTTTATGGATTTGGATATTTGGATTTTATGGATATTTGCTTATGTGGATGCGATTATGGATTTTTAAGACATTTGGATAATTATTATATTTGAGACAAGTCTATTTTTTTATTATGACTATAATTATTTCTTAAGAATATTATTTATGTTGACTAATCTATTTGGCAAGTTTGATCTTCACAGGTATATATATATATATATATATATATATATCTTGTTTATCTTATTGATTTAACAAAAAAGGGGAGAGACGTTAAAAAAAGAGGTAATTATTTTCAAGAAAATCTTAATTTTTTTAAAAAAATGTTTTGTTATATCAAAAAGTGAGAGATTGTTAAATCATGATTTGTATTTTGATATACCAAAAATGAATATTTTTAAAGAAATTTTAAGATTATTTTTGATTCAATTTTCAGGTTTATATTCAACTAAATCATTCAAATACTGAAATCCTTTTCAAGGTTAAAAACTCAATTTTTACTCTTTACTTGCTTTGAAAATTAAACTAATTTTACAAATGGTTTCAAACTTTAATCGAGTCAAAAATTAATTTTAAACCCTGCAATATCGATACTGCAAGAACAATATCGATATTATTCATGAAGTATTGATACTTTGGATGGGATTACCAATACTCCCTTCGTGCGTTTGACAAAAACCGATTTTAGTATGCCATTTTCATATCGATACTCACATAAGAGTAGGAGTGTAAACAAGCCGAGTCGAGCTCGATTCAAGCTCGAACTCAAACTCGAATTTGAACCTACAAAAATCTTATATTACATTTAAAATATATAAATAATTTTCCCTTTAATCAATCATCACCAATACATTATAATATGAATGTATGAACTATAAAAAATCTAAAAAATAAAAATACAATTACAATAAATTTAATATAAATAATATAACCTTTGAAGTTTTTAAAACTTCAAATGTATTGAAAGTTTACAAAATATGACAACACATCTAAATTTATAAAAAAAGATGACAAAAATGACAACATATCCAAATTTATACAAGATGACAATATTTTCCTTACAAAAGATAACAATATCATGATAGTTGCATGTTAAGTTTACTTACAAAAAAAATTATACAAAAAATGATATTAACCAGTTAAGCTTACTTACAAAAGATGGCAGCAACATGTCAAGTTTACTTACAAAATATTGCAACATGTCCAAGTTTACAAAAGATGGGAGCTGCATATGCAAATTCACACACAAAAAATAACAGTAACATGCCCAAGCTTCTATACATAGCACCTATAAAAAAGAGTAAAAGACAATAAATAATAATAAATTATTCTATAAAAAAAAAGCATGAAATCATTACAAATATGGAGTAAAAAATACAAGATTAACAAATTCAAATATTAAACCTTTTAATTTGTCACATTATCGATTCTTTCGAAGGTACTGATATAATAATTTATTTCGGTTGTTTGTCATCATTCTGCAATAATTTAAAAACTCAAACAAGTCTACATATATTTAAAAAAGTAAACAAACTTTGTTATAAGAAAATAAATTTACCTTATTCTTTCTTTTCACTCCATGAAGGGATCTACACCAATCACCTGCACACATCAACATTTGAACTGTTTCTGTGGTAAGGGAAGACCTATAAGGATCTCTTACATGACTTCCAGCATTAAATGTGGCTTCAGAAGCCACAGTAGTAATAGGAACAGCCAATACATTTACTGCCATCCTAGATAAAATGCGAAATTTGTTTGATTTCTCCTTCCACCAAGCAATGACATCAAATTTCGCATCTTGACTAAAGATGCACCCCTCATCCAAATATGAAATAGGAAAAGCATTGGAAATTGGATACTGAACTAATCTACCTATAAAGAGGCAATAAATTACATATCTAATACAAAATCAGCTTAGTCAAATTACAAGAAGCGCTGATTGATGAAAATTCCAGTTTGAAAATATGTAAAATAAGTTGCAACCCATCTTAATTTCAAAAAAATCAACTTAACGGGTGAAAAGCACTTAACAGTGTAGCTCAGGAGTGACTATATGAGAATCATATAATCTGCCCACTTTCAATTACTAAACTGATGCTAAAAAGTGGTTATTCCAATACAGATATCCAACATGAGAAACCGACAACCAATATTCTTTCCGGATCCTTTTACCTTTGAGTTGTTCATTCATCTACCAATCTTCTTAGCAATCCAAAGGTTATTACATTATCAACTAGAACAGGCTAATGTGTACAATATATGTTAATTAACAATAAATATATAACCAGCAAGAACAATACAAAGCTTTTAGCCTCTCTTAAGAAGAATAGATTCATAAAGAACAAGTAGAAACCAACATAAAGTGATTGAACATTCAGAGGTCCACTGCTTAGCTAGAAAAGTTCCTGCACTAAGAGGCAAAATTTTTTTATATATGCCCCCAATTTATCAACATTCAAGAAACCATAGTATGTTCGATTAAATTTATCAAAGTTAAAGTAATTCCTCAAAACTGAATGATCTCAGGGCCACCAAAGCAAGGCAAAGCAAAGAAGTGACGAAATGTATTTGACTAACCTTTCGCTGATACAACGAACAATCAGAGCAGCATTTTCTTGAGTTCTCCCCGCAGACAAACAAGAAAATTTCTTAACCTAACTGCAATAGAAAAAAAAAGCATTTAACAATTGACTGAATTAAACAATATAGAAGGAAAACAAGGTGCAACACTGCAAGAAAACCCTAGAATGTCGATTACACTGAATGAAAATAAACCCTAATGTCAGAGTTTAGAGTTGAAATCATCGACCTTTGAAGTTGGGGTTCTGATTTCATGGTGGTTGTGGGTTTTGAGAGGGTCTCGGCTAAGGTTTTTTTAGGTTAAAAGTCGAGAAGAGTGGCACTGTTTTCTGGTTATGGGTCGTGTGTGAGAATGAGAGGGGAAGAGTTTGGGATGGTGAGGCTTGAGTGGTTGAATATTTAGTTTAGGTTTGTTTTAATTTAGGTTCTAATTCTAAACGTTAATTAATTTTGAGGTTAATTAGCGTTTAGCCACCGTAATTTTAAGGGTATATTAGCTTTAGGTCCTTTAGATTTATGCGTTTCGTACAAAATAATATCTCATTTGTTTAAATTTTTTTATTTGTTTTAAATGTTCAGGTGTCATTTATGTTATTTTTCATATTATTTTAGCTTAAACCGAATAAGATCAATTGTATATAAGACCCTGTAGTTTATTCGCATTTTGTATTTAAGTCATTGGTTTAATTTCAATTTTGTAAGTTTAATTTTACATTTACGTGAATTTAATCATCATTTTAAAGTTAGTATATTTAGCTTAAATTAGTCCTCACATTTAGGCTTCTCTTAATTTAGTCCCTGTTTAGGATTGTTTTCTTTAATTAGTTGTGTATATTTATTTTGCATGTTGATATGTTTACGTATAAGTATGTGAATGATTTATTTAGGAGTCATATAAAATCATTTTTGCGTAATTTGTATGTTACTTTCATGTGCATAACTTAACACTATCACATAATCGGTTTAGGGTTTAGGGTTCATTACAAAGATATTAATTAATCGACTTGGTACCGATTTATGAGGTAAGTACAATATAGTATCTTGATATTAAATGCTTAAACCCTTGATATTTATGATATTTGAACTCAAAACCTCAACATATAACAATAATTTAAAAAATTAATTATTAAAAATATTATCAATAGAAATATATTAAATATTTGTCATTAGATAAATAATTTTTTTATTAATTGAATAAATATAAGAATATTTATTCAAAAATAATTTTTAATCATTTTCAAGTTTTCTATTGTTTGGGTGTTTTTTCTTATTTTTTATTTTATTTTTCTACGTTGTCAATTATTTGTACAATAAAAAGTTAAAAAAAGAAGGAATATTTACCTAATTAGTCCCTCCTCTTTTGGTTTAAGATTAAAAACATCATTTTTATCACCTATTGGTCTCATACTAAGCCCATCCCAAACCCACTTGGTTCAAGCCTCTCATGAGCTAAGGAAATTTTATTCTAAGGTCCGTTGAAAAGCCTGAAACTTCTAACCCGAGATTTGAGGTGTTACAATAAAAATATATTTTTAATATTGTGCACTATTTTAATTTCGATTTAAACTATTAATATTTTATTATTTATTAGTATGATAATTTTTTTATAAGAAGATTTGCCTCGTCAAAAATTCCTTTCATACAGGGAAAGACTCAGAAAACTAACCAGAAAAACAACTCGACCAACCTGAAAAGGCAACCCTGGACAGTCAAATTATCTTACTCACGACCCAGAAGCCATGCCCTGCCACACGCTCTCCTATTAACAGGCACCCCACCAAACTAACATGTACCTTGCTTTGCTAATGAATCTGCTTCCAAGTTACAAAACTCTGGGAATATGACATAAGCTAACATTATTTGCTGCAATAGCTTTCACAATATCACCCACCACGCTCGCAAAACAAGCAGGGCAATTGCTGGGATTCAAAATCCAGCTTACCACTAACTTATTATTACATTCAACCATATGAAGAGATGAGGAGATGAAGGGAGGTGAGAAATAAAGATCAAGGTCGAACTTTAAAGCTAGTAACTCTGCAAGGGCAGAGGATCATGATCGATTCATTTCGAGAAAGATTCGATAGTAGCCTCAACCTTATTCCTGGATAACCCCCAATACCATTAGCAGCTCCCAACAACGACATCGTTCCATCCACATTTAACTTTACATACCCAGCAGGAGGAGTTTTTCACGAGATGACATTACAGACTTTTCCAAACTACGATAATATCCATCATCCAAGGATTGGCAACTATATCCTTCAAGGACAAAGGCACATTGCTCTTCTTCGCCTTGAACCAAGAGGCTAAACGGTACTTCTCTAAGAAGCTTAACTGTAAAGAATCTATACTACCACTCTTGAAGACAATATCGTTCCTAAACAACCACACAGACCACAAGATAGAAGAAGGAACGATATGCCAAACAGACAAAGGAGGAAGAGAAATGCTAACCTCATGCCATGACTGGAAAAACAGTTTCTTCATGGAAAACAATGAAGATATTCCAAAGATTAGAAAACATCATCCATAAGCACCAAGATACCTTACATGAGAATAATAGATGACCGGCCTTTTCCGGATGGATACTACAAAGTGGACAGGAAACATCTGAAATAGAAGAAACTCCTCTCTTGGCAAGCTCAATTCTCACCGGAATCCTATTGAGGCAAACCATCCAAAGAAAGCACTCCACATTCGGTGGAACCTCATTTAGTTTATGTAATCAAACGCATAAAATAAAATATTTTGTTTAATAAAAAAGGGTAAATTATTTGTTTAGCACATAAACTATCAATTTTGGTTCATTTTAGTACCTAAACTTGGGGGAATGAAAGTTTGGGTCCGTTTGTTTCACTGAAAACGTTTTCCGAAAAATATTTTCCGTAAAATGAATTATATTTTCTGGAAAACGTTTTACGATATTTGGAAGATGTTGTTTAAATCCTTTTTCCACTAGTTGATGATTTTTTTTAAAAATTATTTATTACAAATATTAAATACAATAAATAATATTATTTATCATAAAACTTAATATTATTATTTTTAAATATTAAAATAATTTATTTATTATTAAAAAAATATTTTTATAATTTTATTAATAAAAATATTAATATTGGTATATTTTATTGAAATAAAAATATTATAAATTATATCAATTATTTATTAAAGTAATATTGTTATATTATATTTTAAAAATATTAATTAGTATATTTTAAATATCTTTATTAAAATATTATTAGATTATTATATTAATATTAAATATATATAGATAATATTATTCATTATTAATAATTTAATAATATTATTTCTATAAAATTAATAAATAATATAAATTTTATTAATAATTTATTATATATTATTAAAATAAAAATATAATATCTTATATATTATTATAATATAATTTATTATTTTATTATAATATTAAAAATATAATATTATATTATTATAAATATTAATAAATATATTTTAAATATTTTAATAATTAATATTTTTATTAAAATGATATTAAAATATTTTATTAATATTAAATTCATAGAATAAAATTATTTTGAATATTTATTCTTTGAAGTGAAAAGTTCAGAAAATGACTTACGAAAAATCATACCGTAAGTCGTTTTCCATAAAACACAAAGGAAATTCTGTTGACCAGTAAAATGTTTAATGTTGATCAACCAGTTTTCTTCTAACCAAACACTGGAAAATGAGAAAAACATTTTACGGAAAACGTTTTACTTAAAACAAACATACCCTTTAGGTAATAAAACAAACCAAAATTAATAATTTAGGTATTAAATGTATTCATTTTTTAACGATGAAGTATTAAAATAAAATAAATATTAAATATAATTTAAAAAAATTAAATATTAAAATAAACTAAAACTGATAATTTACGTTTTAAATAAGTAAATATATAGTTTATCCAATAAAAAATGCACGTCGTTTGCGAAACTGATTAACTGATTTCACACGGGTTGAGTCGAGAAATCTGGTTTCTCACGGGTCTCACCACGACTCCTGTCTCTCAACTCTCCCCCATTTCTTTTCTTCGTCTCGAAGGTAAAACTAAAAAACAATCAACTTGTAAAACAAAAACTCCGTTCTCTCTCTCTCTATTTCAAGAAATTGACAATTATATCGGGAAACCCTAAAAGATGCAAGAAGCAGAGCTTCACGATTTATCAGACGATGCCGATTATGCAGCGTCTCAACAACAAGTAAGCATAACAGTGCTTTCGCCGTTATTGTTTTTCCTTTTCTTTTTTGGTTTTAACTTATATTTAATTGAATTGGTTTTAATCATTTTTCATTTTCTGCGGGAGTCGTTCTAATGATCAATTGTTATATATATATATATATATATATCGAGTTTAATTCCGTTTTTGTTGTTTAGGGATCAGCGAGCATGATGCGGTGCGACAGTGGGAAAAGAAGCTCGTCAAGTGAACCGGAGGGAGCCCAAATTGTTTATTTGAAGGATAATGTTACAATTCATCCTACTCAGTTTGCCTCTGAACGGATCAGTGGAAGATTAAAGTTAATTAAGCAAGGCTCTTCTCTCTTCATGGTAATTTGTTTGCACTTTGTTTACTTATATGGAAAATTTCGCTATTTTTTTAGCATTTTAGTAACATAACATACCATAGATGGTTCTGATCATGCTATTTCCCTTACCTGGTTTGAGAGGATTAATTGTAACTTTACGCCTATGATGACATGTTCCTCATCTATTCAAATCACGATTTTAAAAAAAGAACGACTATATATTACGTGGTTGACCCCCCCCCCCTCTATATACCTAATTACGTGACATGTTTGAATGGAAAGACATATGCTAACATGGGGTACCCATTTAATGTAATTCTTTGTTACCTGGTTTGTGCCAATTATTTGTATCATCTTATGTGGCAAAAAGTTCAAAGTGTGTCCTATCAGTTCGTGGACAGAATTAACGCAAAGGGAGGTAAACCGTAAATAGGATGTGCAAAAGTATTGGGGCAAATATAATTTTTATTTTTTTATCATGTATAAACTAACCGTTTATTTATTGTATTTAATTGTAGACATGGATTCCATACAAAGGACAAATTACAAATGCTAGACTATCTGAGAAAGGTTTTCAGCTTTGAACTCATTGATTTGAATGTATTTTATCCACTTACTAATTCACAAGGTGTATAGATTATATGATTTGCTGAAACTGTTATTGTCTGCATGGTTTTATTATGCAGATAGAAATCTTTATACCATTAGAGCGGTGCCATTTGCTGATGTGAAATCCATTCGGAGGCACACTCCAGCTTTCGGGTGGCAGTACATTATTATTGTTCTGTCATTTGGTAAGTAACCACAAACTCTACTGTTTGGTTGATCTTCAAGTGCTTTTTATGATAAAGTATTGAATTGAATTTTCATCTTCCTGTCGGGGGATTAAAACTAAAAATGTATTGGAAGTTTGGATTGATTCATATATTTTTAAGGCCAAAATTTTTGGAGATTTGTTTTACCAACATCTCCTAGAATTACAAAATGAAAATGTGCCACCATGGACATGAGCAATTTCTTATTGCTATATGCTGTTCAATTTCTAACCTATGTTGTGCAAACATAAAGAATCCCCTCTAACAGTAATAAAAGTGGTTTGATTTGAGTTGTGTATCAATATATGCTTAGAACACTCTTAAAGGAAGATGGTATGTTCTACCCAACTACACTTAGGATGCGTTTGGTTCACGGAATGTAAGATTACCAGTGGGAATAAAAGATTACCAGAGAATAGGATTATTGGGAATGTTGTATTTTGTGTTTGGTTGGTTTAGCAGGAATGTAAGATTATCGTGTTTGGTTAAAGGAATAAAAGATTATTGGAATGTATATTTGACCAAATTGTCTTTATTATATATTTGTATAATATTACAAATTGTAAAATATTTATATATTTTCTTTAAAAAATTAAATTCATAATATTTATATAATTTTTTACAAAATTAAAAATATAAAAAAAAGTTTAATAAAAGGGTAAAATTTTTTTTAACCCTTGAACTTCATATAAAATTTTAATTATAGACTTTTTTTGTAAATCTAAAATAATTTAAGGATAAATTTGTAATTTAACCTTTGTAGAATTTTTATTATTCAATGACAGAAGAATGATATTTTTGAAAAAAAATAAAAATTTAAGGGCATTTTAATCCAAAACGCTGGTAATGTTACAATACCTAAGGGAATGGAGGTAATAACATTCCCGGTAATATACCCCAAAAAATCTACTATTGGTAATAAAATATTACCGGGAATGAGATTCCTGGCCAACCAAACATGTGGGAATCCCACAATCCTTGAACCAAACACCCCCTTATGGTAACTTTGGTTCTGGAAATTTGTTTTTAGAACCACTGACCATAGAAGTAATTTATTACCTTGCCCTTTCTTTATTGAGTTTTTAAATGATAATGATCCAATGTTATGGAGATTTGGTGCTAATCAATTTTTGTTTTTCTCATTTCTTGTTTGATATACCTCCTAAATTTGGGTGCCTGAGATGAAAAAAAATGGAAAGCTAAAAAGTTTAATCATTAGACAACTTTAAATTCAATTTAATCAACCTAAACAAGATAATAAGTTCTATAATCTGGAACCATTAATTATGTAAGCAAACCAGATTTTAAGCATCATATAATAGATGTTAAGATCTTAAATAGCTGAAGCTTTGAGAAAACTCTAGTCATCTAAATTTCTGTAAGATGATTCACGTTTGGAAATTGCTACTTAGCCTTTACTAGGTGTTCGGGGCCATTTCTTTCTTTATATTTATCAAAATTTGCCTAGTAAAGCTTTTCTTAAGCATGCTGGTTGCATGGCTACTTTCACCTGGCAGTTGAAAAGACTGCTAGGCATTGAAACTTCTCAGCTTGACTGCTCCGTCTTTTGGTACTTCTTGCTTCCTGTTTGTTCATTTACAAGTTTATGGTTTGTCCTATGGACCCACTTATTGACTAAATGGAAAGGTTTTGATGATTGTTGAAAGATAATAATGTAAATGATTTAATCTCATGGATCTATTTTAATTTTGTTTTAATTTGAAAATTTTATTTCTACTTTGTGATCGTGCTTGTATCAACATTATTGAAAAACTTTGTTTTTCAGGACTTGCATTTCCTCCCCTTTACTTCTATAATGGAGGAGTTCGAGAGTTCCTTGCTACAGTCAAGCAACACGTTTTACTTGTGAGGTTGGCTTTCGCTCTTTCTAAGATCCAGTTGTGTGATTAAATTTTAAATTCATCTTCAAGAGTTTGACAGTACATGCTATAGTATGTTGACCAAGAATAAATCTTGAAATTAACTAGGTCTTGTCTATCACAGACCAGAGAAAGACGTGTAAATGAATAGAATTTGTAAGAAAAACAATTGTTTTTTGTTCTTGCATAATCAATGCATAAGTGTTTTCGTAGTTTGTGGAATTTTGTTAATTTATTCATTTAGATATTTTTTGTGGTTTAGTCTTATGAGTGTCATTTTCTATGATGTTTATTCTGAATTTTCCGGAGATTTGGTAGATTGGTGGAATTCCCAATGTGTGATTTTTCCTTGATTTTGGAAAAGAAAGCCAAGTGTATTATTTGTTACAATGAGATTTTTTTTCTTTTGTCAAATGTGCCATAATTTATGATTACTATTTATGCTACTTTTTGCATATAACTACATATACCCTGGTACTTGTTTGGTTCTTCCACTTCCAAATCTTCTTACCATAAGTTTTCTCTGGAAAAAAAATAATATTTATGACAATTATGTTTGTATATTCTTTTTTTTTTTTTTTGAGTTGTATGTCTTTAGCTCACAATTTCTTGATGTCCTCATTTTGCATCTTATTTTCAGGTCAGCTGAAGACTCTAATGTATTTCTTGTTAATGACTTCCAAAATCCTCTGCAGGTTTGTGTAATGCTAATCACTTGTTTGGGTTTTTTTTCCTGAAAATTTAGTTTCTATGGTTGCTATATGGTTAATTAACACTGCAGCAGTAATGTTTCCCTTAATTCATGTCCAACATGAGAAATAAGGAACACTTAAATGGCAGCATATCATACTTTTATAGAGGATAATGTAAATTGTTTTGTTTTTAATTTTAAACTCTATTTTTTGAGCTAATTATCCTATTAAGCTTTGCTGATCCTTTGCTATGAATATTCTAATTGCTTGTGGCAGCGAACATTGTCTTCATTGGAGCTACCAAGGGCAGTTTCCGTGGTTAGTGTGCCATCACCTCTTCCAGTTGAGGAGTCTACTTCACAACAAAATGAAGAGAGAACTGATTTAAGTGCTAGTATTCCTCAATATAACAGAAGGCAGAGGCAAAAGGGTCATGATCCTGCTCGAGACATTTCAATTCAAGTTTTGGAGAAATTCTCTCTTGTAACGAAGTTTGCCCGAGAAACAACTTTGCAGTTATTTCGCGAGACTAATAACAATGATTTTGGTCCTTTAGAGAGGAGAAACTCTAACCAGTCTACCCTTGATTATAGTCGCAAACCATCTGACTATGATGTGGATGTTCCTATTCAACGCCCCGTTGAACCAGATCCTCTTGAGGTAGCTGTTTGTATTTGTTCTTTTTGTCAGTTATTTTCACATAACTTTTTTCACTATTGTTACTGTCTGTTGGACATCTAAAAGGGTTTGTGATTTTGCATCTGGATTTAAATTCGAAGTACTACTCATTGGAAGGTAATAAAATGGAAGTCAATATGTAAATATATATTTCTGTCAAAGTTATTGTTTTTCATGCATCAATTGGGACCCATTATAGGTCGAAGGAAACCTACAGAACGGAATCTATCTATCCATCCTTTGATGATGAAAAAAACAGAATGGGTTCAGCCTCATGTTCTTGGAAAGTCATCTTTTTGGTTTGAATATTTCTATATCTTTACACATCACTTGGAGAATTAAGTATTGTTGTTAATTTGAGCATAGTCCAGAGTTCTTTTTAATGCTCTTTATTTAATTAATGTTTGGCTTGTATTATTTTAGCTGGAAAGTTTTCAACTTCTCTACTACCAGGGCAACTCAACCTTTATCACTGTCGAACAGAAATTCCCATATCGGAAACTCATTCTTGTTGACAAAGTTGTTATTAGTGTAGGGACTTTTAGGCATAATCAGTTTAAAGATGTATGGAAAGGAAGGAGCCTTAGTTCATTTTAAGTTTTCAGGTCGTTTTGTTTTCTTTCGACATTTCTACCCTGTCCGACTTCAGTCATAAGTTAAATTAGATAGTTGTGAACAAAATAACTGATACAACCTGTATCAAGTTCCTATATCTTTGGCATATGAGTGCTGAATTATTTCATAGCACAAGTGTATGATGCATGAATCTGGAAATCAACAGAGGGTCCTGAAGCAGTGCTATACACGCACTCATGGTATATTTTATAATGATGGCAGGACATGGCCCACCAATAATTGTTGTGGTTGAAAATTAAATTCCGTAACTTTTGTGTATTTTTTTCATTTTTAGAAAACAGATGTTGCATCTTAAGCTAATAATATCTGTTTGTTTCATTTTCTGGCAGTTTGACAAACTCTCACTACTGTGGGGAAAACCCCGACAACCACCACTGGGGTTGGAAGAGGTATGAAACCAGATGCAAACTATGTTATTTTGTATGGTTTCCAATTAGCTTACATATTTCATCCCCTCTTCCTGATTTCATTCTAGCTTCTTTGGGTTGTGGCTCCATCACCAATCTCTTACTATATGAAATGAAATAGATTAATAATAAAATTTCTTAAATTTCTATGTTATATCCTTCCTTGACCTTTGAAGTTCATAGATACTTCTTCAACCTTCCAAGGACTACTATTTTTTTTTTTTTGTGATTGGTAGTATTTGTCTTCTGAAATTTATTTATTTATTTCAGTGGACCTCATTCTTGGATTCAGAAGGGCGATTGGTGGATCCAAAAGCTTTAAGAAAAAGAATATTTTATGGAGGAGTTGAACACAAATTTCGTAAAGAGGTTTGTATTTGTTCTATCAAAGAATTGAGTGGACTGATTCTTTTGATTAAAACTGATCTTATTCTTAGAGTTCTTATTTTTTATTTTAGGTCTGGGCATTATTGTTGGGATATCATACATATGAATCGTCTTATGCTGAGAGGGAGTATGAAAAGTCCATAAAAAGGACAGAATATGAGACTATAAAAAAACAGTGGCAGGTTTGTAGTATTCTCTGTATACTTTGTTATGCCATCCTCATTCTTTCCCTATATTGGTTCCAAGTTTTAAATGCAATCCCTCCAGTCATTCTTGTTATATTTTGCTCAAAATTAGTTATGAGTTGTAGAAGAGTATTGGAATGTAAAATGCTGCAGGGTTTCTTAACGGAACATATAAATAGTGATGCTAGAATAAGAAATACTGCAGCAGGGTGCTAAAATCTGGAGATAACTGTTTTTTTATTATATTTATCTTAATAAGTAGTGTCTTCTTCAAAATGGAGGCTATTCGATGTTTGTATATCAGTAATATCATTTCTTGGTTTTCGGGTCCAGATGCAATATGATATTTAAAGGGGATAATTGCTTTAGCCTGTGATGCCCTATTGAAGAATCAATTCATTTGTGACATAATCACAACATTTTTCAGAATTTATGATTTATGGTGAGAATAGTTTGTAGTTTATTTGATACGAGTTATCTGGGATTCAGGAATTAGGTGTTGGGTTAAAATGTTCTCTGCTAAAGAGTATTTTTCTAATGTTCTAAAAGCTTAGTTTTCTCTGATTACTTTTTTTTTGTGAATATCTGGGCAGAGTATATCTCGTGAGCAGGCAAAAAGATTTACAAAATTCAGAGAGAGGAAAGTCCTTATAGAGAAAGATGTGGTATGTATGAAACCATCACATGTTTGAGTTTAGAGTTTCATATATTATTTTATTCTTTGAGAGGTTGAAAAGCTCAATTCTGAGTTCAATGCTACCACTATTTTTGTTGTATTTAAGGTTAGGACAGACAGGTCACTCTCATTCTATGACGGGGATGACAATCAAAATGTTAAAATTTTACGTGATATTCTCTTGACGTACTCCTTTTTCAACTTTGATCTTGGCTATTGTCAGGTAATTTACTTACTAATTTGCTTTGTTTTTTGTACATCCGTTGGTTGCCTAGTGGAAAAAATTACAGTAATGCTGTACTACAATTTTAATGTTGATTGTTTTATTTGGTTAAAAGAAAAAATCCTGTGTTTCTAAAATGCTCCAAATTTGTTTTTTTTAAGTTGAATTTCATGTTCCTAGCCAGAAAAATAAGGATTTACATATATGTAGCAATGGAATTAGTCTAATCGAAAAGCTTCTATTTGCTGAATGTATGACTCTCTTGGTGGCAGTACTAAATTTCAATGATCACTGCATCATTTCATACTCTCTCAGGTTGATCTGCATGCACAACCAAGCATGCAGTAGACATGATGTCCCGGGTCACATGCTTTGACGGCATTAATCAATGGATGAATTTATACAGCCTTTATTTTAGTACATTTTAAGTGCATTTAAGTGGTCATTATTGTCAAAAACTATATTTAAAGTTGAGCATAATTGAGCATGTACGTTATGTTTTGTTTTTCTTATGTGCAGGCCTTAATTTAATTGCGAGATATTGTTTGACGCCTTTGTCCTTTAAGTGTGATGTATTTTAATTTTCCTTCCATGTTAAATTTCACTCTGGCAAAGAGATGGCTGCTTGTTTGTCTTGAATGCATCTGAACTTTTTAAAAATAATTCACAATATAGAGACACATACACACAAGGAGATGCAAATAAAAGTGAAATTTTCTTTTTCCAGTTTGTAAGTTTTGTTGTAGATTATTTGTTCAGGCATGTGAATGTTTAGACCTATAGCTTGTTTTTCTTTCTAATGCATGGATGAATTTTTCCGAAGTTCATGTACACTGATACTTTTCTTTTATGGTCGTGTGCTTCATCCTTTTATATCATTCTTGCAGGGTATGAGCGACCTGCTATCCCCAATTTTGTTTGTCATGGAGGATGAGTCAGAATCATTTTGGTGTTTTGTTGCACTGATGGAACGCCTTGGGCCCAATTTTAATCGTGATCAGAATGGCATGCACTCTCAGCTTTTTGCAGTATCTAAGGTCTTACTTCCTCTCCCTCTCTTTGTCTCGCTAGATGCTGGAGTCAGTTACTGTTTAGTCAAAATGGCCTAGACTGCCCCCCACCCCAAACTCTGGAATGTGACAACTCAATTGTAATCTCATGTTTATACAACTTCCATCTGCCTACTCCTGCCCTTTCCTCCCTTTGGTATGGGGGTTAATCTCTCTCTAAAAAGGGCAATAGTGCTTTAGTTCAAAATTTGTCCATAAATTTCTTTATCGTTAAAGAGCATTTAACTTTCTGTTGGTCAGAGAATTCTGGTGATTGTTGTTTTAATGATTGATTATTATTATTATGCTCTTGTCCATCTTGTGTGGCTTCCTGAAATTTCAGCCTTTGCTTTTGCATTGTTGTAAAGTCAAAATGCAATAGTAGTACTAATATGATACGGATCTAGTCTCAGTTTGTAAATTTAGAACTCAATTGAAGTTTTTGGTGTGGCTTTTTGAGACACTTCTACATGAGATAGCTGGCCTTAAAAGTTAAAACCTACGTTTCTTACTATAGTGATGGTTTGCATGCCTGATGAGGCTAAATCATCATTTTCCCCTTCCTTTTCTTGAGTTAACAACTACAGTATATAGACTAGTATAACATGACCACTGGTGGTTTCTTGAGTCCCTTGAATAATAGTCAAATTGTAAAGCATCTTTTCATAATATCATCAAACTTTTGTTTCTTCTTTGAGATCATTGGATTTTAGTATTGTGTTCTTTTGGGAAGGAAACGACATGTAGTTTATTAACAGCTGAACCATTCTTCCCTTGCCAATAAACAGCATAAAGAAGGTTTGGGTATCTAGACTTTATACATCTGACAAGTAATTTATAAACAGCTAAACCAAGTAAATCAATAATTCATGAACGTAGATTTTGGTCTCTGATTTTGAACTGTACTACTTTTTGCAGCTGGTGGAGTTGTTAGACAGCCCTTTACATAACTATTTCAAGCAGAACGATTGCTTGAATTATTTCTTCTGTTTCCGCTGGATTCTGATACAGTTTAAAAGGTAAGACTCTTGGATTTATTAGTTGATTCATTTTCTTCCATGCCAACATTCATTTAGGCTAGATCTTCATTTAATAATGCGCTGTACATAATTTCCTGCTTATGCATATTCTTGTTTTGAATCCAACATCTTGCAACGCTTCACGTAGAATAGTTTGTGGTATCTTATAGCATATGCTGTTTTGTGTTGTACCGCACCTTTTCCTCCACACTCGAAACCCAACATGCGATTACGTATTATAGTTCCCTTTAAATTCCATGTCTACCTTGCTTATGCATGCACTTATGTATTCCTTTATTTTTACATGTTTCTGCCGTGTCAACGCATTCTTATCCAGGGAACTTGAATACGAGGAAACAATGCGATTGTGGGAAGTATTGTGGACGCATCATTTGTCGGAGCACCTCCATCTGTATGTGTGTGTAGCTGTCTTGAAGCGCTATCGAAGCAAAATAATCGGAGAGCAAATGGACTTTGACACCCTCTTGAAGTTCATCAATGAGTTGAGTGGGCAGATTGCCCTTGATGCAACCCTCAGGGATGCCGAGGCTTTATGTATATGCGCTGGGGAGAACGGAGCCGCCTGCATCCCACCTGGAACTCCACCCTCATTACCGGTTGATGCTGGTTCATTCTATAACCAGCAAGATGATGATGTACTGTAATTGTCAACCATCCCTTTTCCTGCAAAAAGGTAATTGTTGAATTTAGTTCAGTATTATCTCATAGTGTGAAACCATTTCATTCTTCTTTTCCTTTGTCCCCCTCCCCCTCCCACACACGCGCACACACAAAAACAAAAAAAAACAATTATTTCTAGTGGATTGGATGAATCAATGTATTATATGTTTTCCCTTGATACGGTAACATAGCAAGGTATTTGTTATTTTCTAAGATTTCCAATTAGTTTTCTTGTTCTTATTTCTCTAATTATTTGGTGGCTTTTTTTTTCTTATTTCTTCCCTTTTTATCAAATTTGGCAATTTTCACCAATAAGTTGGTTCAAGTAGAAAGCAACTTGATTCAAGTGGAAAGCAACTTGATATCGAGTAAGATTTCAAGTTTAAGTCCTTGTTGTGTATGCAGAAAATTCTATTGGGAATATACCTACCAAAATTAGGTGTGCGATTCGGGTCGGTTCAGATTACTCATGACAAAACCTTAAAACTGGAGGATAGTCGAAAAAAATGGCAATTTTCGTTATGTTTGTATATTTTGTTGTTTAAGGTATTTATATAATTTTTGAAGCGTTAATAATTCATTTATGTCAATTATTAATATTTTAGTGTTTATATGTCGTAATAGATTAATTCTGTTAATTGAATGTTTCTTAATACCTTGATAAGATCAAGGTTTAGAATCGTGCCAGTTATCTATTTGACTTGTCGAAAAATAAATTAACTTCAAAATATCTTAAAAACTATTGAAAAGGAACCACTGAAACATCTTTTAATTTGCCCTATATTTCTTATTCTTCCCCACGTGTCAATGTGGTGTGCCTCAGTTGAGTAATAGGAATCAGTTGAAAGAGACAATACAAATAGTTCCCATCACCACAAATACATTCAGCTTATTGGAAGAAATATTCTAGGCAAAACAAAGCTCCCAAGGTGCGACTTCAACGGCAACTGTTATTATCAATTATATTGGTAACTTTTTTCTTTATTGCACCTATATATAATTCTTGTTACATTTTTAAATTACAAAATATACTAGTTAAATAAATTTTTGTATTGAGCAAATTGATAAAAAAAATAGATCCGTCACTGAATTTATCCATTCAATTAAGTTCGTTGTTGTCCAGCTCTCAATATTGGTAACCAGTCCTTTATAGGTTGGAATTGTTTTACTTTAAAATGTGGCTGGCACCGCCTGGTTGCTGGTTGCCCCGCCTTGACGGGACTGTCTCGCACGGCTTTGCCTCTTGTCTTTGGTGTTTTGGGGTTGGGGTAAGATTCGTATCACGTAAACCCTGCAGGGTTCCCTTTCAATCTTGTATCCTTTATACTACAGTCAATGGAGTAGCGTGTGTCAAAATGTATTCTGATTCTGATAGCGACTTTGTTACTAAACTTCAACATAGTTTATAAATTATCATATATTTTTCCTACTTTTTTTTATGATCAATAATCATAGTACAATATTATAGACAAACCAAATAACTTCAACGATTCAGAAAATGGTTGTTATCCCTCAATTTTAAGTTCAAACACGATGTTATAAATATTTTTTTTAGATTCAACTGCTATCGAATCATTGAATCTAAGCCAATTGAATGGAATCAGATCATCCGTTTGTGTCATCCTATCCAGTACTGGATGCAGTAGAAGGTGTTCTCGAGCGAATTCCCTTTTTGAAAGGCTAAAAGGTACACTGAGTTAGGCGAGAATTGTCTTAAGATTGACAGATTTACTAGGGGGAATTAGGAGTGGGTACCATGGAAGAGGTAGCTTATGGTAATAGAGACTAGAAACTGACTCGACCGGTTTACAACTTCGAAAAAAGGAGAGCAGATATCTTTCTTTAAATCCAAGGATCATGGGGCTAGAACCCATAGGCACTGGACTGAGGTATGAAATGAAGGACGAGTTTCACTCGCTTCGAGCTCAAGCTTTGATAGAAGAGTCCAATGAGCCCAAATGGAAAACTCAAGCTGAGAAAGTCACGATCCATTAAATAAGATCGGAAAACGATGAGAGCTCTAAAAATAAAGATAAACAAGTAGCTCACCCACCTACGATTGATTCGAGACTTATTCAATAGGTAAGGTCACCGCCTTATTCCGTCACTAAAGCAGGTACAACCATCCATCCAGCCTTTCTACGTGTTCATGTTAGCCGAATCCAACTAACCAACCTTCCAGTAGAAGAAGAGGAGAGTACATAGCAGAGGGAGGGAGGATACTAGAGATTCCCATCGCTTCCAAAGGAGAAAATCCGCATGAATGAATGACGCAAAGGCTTAAGATCGAACAACAAAGGCTATCGTCAATCGAGGAGTCTTCATGCACGGATCGGTAGGAAATGAGGATTGAAAGTGCACAGTTGAGGAGCCTCGGGGAGTGATCGGAAAGAGCCAGGCACTGTAAAAGAAGAGAAAGGGGTAATAAAAAAGGTATACCCCCATTGACTGGCTTAACGTGAATCAATCGTAAACCTAAATGAGATGGGAACTTCAACTTGCCGACTTAATCGACGTCTTGTCTTATCCCACTACATATTTTTGACAAGAAGTAGGGCACGCAAGAGATATGGATTGCTATCATTTGGTCCACCAATCATTTCGTATAATATCAAGTATAACATGGAAGTAGATGGAGAATTATTACTCAAAGGGTTGAATGTTGAGTAAGATAATGATAGAGGTTAAGAGTGGGTAAAAAAGACCTACAAATACGTTAGGAAAGTGTTTATGATGTGTGTGGAGAAGTTTAATCAACATTAGATGCTTATGTTCGTTCGGAGCTGGTTTGGCCAGTAAATATTTCGTTGTCGCAAACTAGAGATATCTACAGATAAGATCAAGTAAAGTACTCCCCACATTATGTTCCCCTTTAGAGTACATTTTCTACGTTTCTAAACCTATGGTCACTATAAGCAATGATACCGAGAATCCCCAAGCCCTAGGTAGTCTTTGAGGAGAAATCAAAGCCTTAAATTATTGCAGCACTAGTTCCAGCAAGTGGGATAACCTATGAAGCTACTCGGGATTACCCAACCCAAGAGAAGGGGATACTACGTATAACTATAAATTAGCTATGCCGAGGCATATGGGGTGTTTTCCCATGGATAATAGGTTTTTGCCAAATTACGACGAACGACTAACTAACCTAACTATGGCTAAGGAGTCTTTCCCATGGAATGAAGGATTTAACAGTAAGGTGGTAAGATGGGGTTTTGCAACAAAAAAAAGGCATGTTTGTTAGTCTTCCAGATAGTGGAGGAAAAAGAGGCAGCGATGAAAGAAAAGTGGGAGGTCTTGTCATTCTGGTTCGAAAAGCTGGAGCCTGTTATGGAGGATGGGTGTGTTCCTTTAGCTTACTATGCAATTTCCATGATAGGTGTGCCATTGAATTGCTGTACAGTTCCATTCTTTACGAGTATGGCATCGAGATGAGGTAAGCTAGTGAAGATTCAGGAGCAAACAGTCCATAGGGTGGATTACCGAGTGGCGCATTTACTTCTGAGGGTTGAGAGTCCGTTTGATATTTCGTCTCATGTCACCATTAACACGTATGGAAGGTATTTCGTTATTAAAATTAAGGTTGAAGGCAGTGAAGATTATTTTTCTGAGTTAGCAGACATGGTTGAGGAAGATGATTCAATGGATCCTTGGGAGGAGAATTCGTCGGGATAGAGCCAAGGGGATGTTTAGGAATGTCAGGCAGAGCAGTTTGGTAAACAGTCGGTGTCAGACTCACAGAATAGGGTAGAAACATGGGTTCAGGATTTTTATCAAGAGGGTAGCACAGATATCGATGGGAGTTTGAAAAATCAAATTGGGAAAAATAATGTCTTGGATGTTTACTTGTGTAGTGAGAAGACAGTAGCAGGTGATGTCACAGTCCAGCACATTGTGTCGAATGCTTTTAATGAAGAGAGAGAAAATGAGAAGAGCATGGATGTTGACTTTTCGGGGCATGATAAGGTTGACCAGGGAAGTGGGTTTAAAATTAGCTTGGATGGGCTTGTTATGAGTGGGCCTGATCAGGGGAGAATTAGACCAAATTCAGTAGCAGTGCAGAATATTGAACACACTGTTTTAGACATTCAGGAAAAATCTACTTCTCTGGTCCAATGTATAAATAATGGAAAAAAGTTTCTCGGTTAGTAAATCAGAGAGAGGTTGTTGTAAAAAAATCTATTCAAGGAGGTGGGACAGTAAGAGTTGTAATGGTAAGGGTTCAGATAATTTTACTGCAAATGAAACAGAAGGGGTTGCAGAGGCTTTGGAGTGCTAGAATATTACAAAGTTGTTGGGTGTAAAGGTTAAAGGAGGGAAAAAAGTTTTCATGAATAAAGCAGTTACTTTGGTTAAGGAAATAGAGGTGCATGGAATAATGTAATTGGATTTGGTTATTGAGGTAATAGTATGATAATGATGGTGGAGGTGGAGTGATCGATAATATCATGGAATATTAGGGGTTTAAGGAAGAGGGTTAAAGCTCGAGCCATAATAAGGTTCGTTAATGAGAAGAATTCTATAATTTTATTTCTACAGGAATCAAAAGTGGATGTTGTCAGCCCTATATTACTGAGGAAAATGGGAGGAAAAATACTGTGGTTCGGTAGTAGCACCTGTAGAAGGTTCTACTGGTGGATTAATTACCTTGTGGAATGAGAAGAAATTTGTTGTTAAGGAAGAAGTTATTCATAAGAGATATGTGGCATTAAAGGGTATTTTAAAAGGAATTCCAGGGATGTGTTGTTTCATTAATGTGTATGGTCCTACTGTGGATGCAGATAAAGAGGTGTTCTTTTCGGAGTTATTACTTTTTTGGAAAATGTTGATTGCCCAGTATGTTTAGAAGGAGATTTTAATGTTGTTTTGTCACAGGAAGAAAATGACAGTGGTCCTGTAAATTTGATTTCTATGAATATTTTCATAGATTTTGTAAGCAAAGCAAATTTGATTGGTTTTCCAATGTCTGGAGGTCGATATATATGGTACAATAATAGGGAAGTCCCGACGTATGTTAGGTTGGATCGATTCTTGGTAGATCAGAGGTTATTAACTTTATTTCCCAAGATAAATTAAATTATGCAGTCAAGGTCTGTTTCAGATTATAATTTGATATTGTTGGAGTATGGGGACTGTAATTAGGGCTCTAAACTGTTCAGGATGTTCAATTATGTAATGGATGA